TTTGAAGTAAGGGGCGGTGTGCTTCGTAAAACACAACATAGGGGGTCCTTGCTAATATTTTTAACACGAGGACTTTTTCGGCAATTCGAAATTACACAGGGGGTTATGTGCAATTAGCTCAAAAATATAATTACGATTCTAATAATTGAAAAAAAAAACCCCAGCATAACCCTTAACCCCTCTAACCATAATTATAATAGCGTGATTTATCAAGAATTAAGACTTAAGAGTGCCACATGTCAAAAAATTAGTGGAATCCGATTTATATTAAATATCGGCTGATCCGCTCAGAATTTAATCTCTATAAATTTATCCAAGTAGGGTTATTTGTATGCTATAGTCGGTGAATATGATACTGAATGAATTTTTACAGTGGATCTATACACACCAATGTGGGGAGGTATGTGTTTGAGTGTATATGAATGTTAAAGATCTATTCGGTGTATTTCACCCGGTGTAGCATAGAATAGACTTTCAAATAGTGTTTCCTCATAGCATACTAATAACAGCAATCTGAGTTTTCCTATTCAAAATTTGAATGAGTCGGATATGTGCATTCAAAGGCCTATAAATACAACGTACAATGCAAGTTACACACTAAACTACCAAGGAACACATGGCGGCACGCAGGGCAACCACTTGACTAATTGTTACAATATAAAATAAACAGTTTTTAGTTGTTTGTTGATTAACTGCTCTGCAACTACCATTCAAAAACCGCCAAAGTAAAGCAAACCATCTAGTTTGCCTTGTCGGTGCTCTAGCGCTCCTAACCGTCGAGGTTGCCAGCACGTATGCTAGTCAGCATGTCTGCCTTGCCCACACTTGTCTACACTTGTCTGCCTAGGCTGCCGAGACTCGCTCATGTATTGCCTGCATCCGTTTGCCTAGGTTGCTGGCAATCTCTCGTGCCAACCAACAAAACCCTTGCTTTGTTTTCTTGGCCAAGCACTCCAATACTTGTCAATCACGCGGTCACCATCTGACCTATGTATAGCTTGCCTTGTGCTAACATCTCTCGGCTTCATTTTAACTATGACCCGACCACACTCGAACCATAGTTGATGTCTTCGTCTAAATGGGTAACAGTACACCACTACACCAGTGAAAAGAAAATAATAGATATCGAGATGTACTATAAAATCCATATTTGAACAAACAAAAAATTAGCAAATAAAATGACTAATAAAAATGCAATTTAACATTCAAAACACAATAGTTTTCCTTTCTAATTAGGCATACTTTTGAGTAATAATTAAAAATGAAGTCCTTGTAAATATTTCAATTAACATTAACATACATACAGAAAAGATGTGAGCCAGGTGGTGGACATAAATTACAAGACATCATTATAAATATGTTAATTAATATTTTCTATTAATTCCTATTTATAGTTTGTGCAAGGCCTCTTTTGGTTGGTATACAGATAATTAGATTATTTTGGTGAGCAATAACTTTTTGAATAGCTCCTTAATTAATTATGAACCCCCCCACCGGCCACCCCCACAAAGTTTAATTTTATACATCTTTTAGCCCATAATTTGTTTTATTTTCTTAAACCACCCCATATTCTAGCCCCTAGCGAAAATCCCGGAGGCCACCCCAGGTTAAATCCGTATGATAACGCCTGAATTGTAATTTTGGTACAAGTCAAAGATTGAATGTGAAAATATGGCCTGATCTTAATTTAATGGGCAAATTACGGCAACCCTGATGTATGGATAAATTACGAAAAAAAAATCCTATTGTTTGGGTAACTACAATCACCCCTTTTTTAAAATATTTTTACATGAAATTTATGTAATTCGGTTATTTACCGAATCAAATCGTATATTCAGTTCGGTAAACGATATGAAATGTTGGTGTACCAAAATTTCGGTTTGATTTTACCCATTTAACATCCCTATATTTACCGGTGGAGAGGTATTTTCGTAAGAATGCATAGTTGAGGGGGTGGCTGTAATGAACCAAACATGATAGAGGTTTTCGTAATTTGAATCAGTGAAGGGTGGCCGCAATTTGCCCATTTAATTGCACCACCGGCCACATTTTTAGCATGAAATTTAAATAGTGGTCCCTCAAACAATAAAAGGATAGGTTAAGCCCAGTGGCGTATCTACCATAGTCCTAGGGTGTGCAGTTGCACAACCTTGGATTTAAAAAAAAAAAAAAAATTATATATAATATTTTGGGGTTTTTTTTTATATTTATAACTAATGAGGGGTTAAATTGAAATTTAGTAAAAATTAATACAGCTTACCAGAGTCAGAGACCCCTAATATGTTGGTTTTTTTTTTTTTTTTTTCTATTTTTTAGGTATATACTCCTTTTTAAATTCCAAATCTTCTGTAAATAAATTGACTTGTAGTTAATTGGTAGAAAGTTTTTAAAAGGAACAAGATTTAATTTTCATTACATACAATATTTCAATTGTTTTCAATTTTTTGAATATGTGGGTATTTTTGAATATTTTTATATAATCTAAATTATGGAGAAATTCTTAATGTTATATATATATATATATATATATATATATATATATATATATATATATATATATATATATATATATATTATTTCAATTATTTTCTAAATTTACAACTATGTGGGCATTTTTTTTTTATATTTTAAAAATTCAAAATCTGCTAATGAATTACATATTTTGTTACTTGCAACTTTAATATGTTTACCACTCCTTCAATATTTTCACCAATTTTATGTCTAAATATTTCTTAAATTAGTCCAAAATTTGTAAAATAATCCCTTTAAATTTGAAAATATTACATATTTTTATTATTTAATGTTTATAGTATTAAAAAAAAATCGGGGGCGCTGCCCCCGAACCCCCGTAAACTTTTACCCAACCATCATATTTTCTACTATATTTAATCCGAACACCCTTGGCAAAAATCCTGGATTCGCCACTGGTTAAGCCCACGTCATATACTCTAGTTAGGCTATATATCATTAAGAATTTGTTGGATTATTCCAATTAAATCGTAATTATATAAGTTAACAATATAATGAATTTGTAAGATTCAAATAAACTCACACACATTAATTTGTGGCTTAATTCTATTTTGCCCCTTGAAATGTAACATTTTGACACTTTACACCATTGAAAAAATATATATTTTGCATCTTCGGAATACAATAAATGATTTACAATGCAGTGATGCACTATGTCTAGAATTTTTAAAACTTAATGAGAGCAACTTTTTTTTTTTATTGATTTTATTTTTCAGGGCGCAAGATAACAAATTAAATTATTATTTCTATTCTTCAACCTAATTTCAAGCGTACAAAGTGCGGAAACAACAATTCACACTGAATTACTTACAAGCTATATATTTTCTAAAAAAAAAAGAATATAAACTTATCCTTAAGTTATTCAATTGTTGGATCTTTTATTGTATTGGTGTAAATATTTGATAGATTTTTTTGTAAAATATCAATTGGTGTTTTTTTGGTAAAATATTTTGATGGTATGTGTTTTTCTCTTTGCACTTTGCTATTTTGAGATGGCTTGAAAAATTGATGAATATAAAAATTTGGATTTAACAATTGGCATCCTAAAAGAATACAATTAAAAATATTAAATTTGTTTCAATGGCTTAAAAAAAATCATTCAAAGTGCATTGTGCCATGATTTATTGTGTTTCGAGAGTGTAAAGTGCTATTATTTTTTCTGTATGTATAAACTGCCAAAATACTATATATTTAAGGGTACAAAAGCGTGATTAAAGTATTAATTAATTGATTGAGCATTGCACTCAACAGCAGGGAGTGGGAATTCTCATCGTTCGGAGCGTTTGTGGAGGAATGCCTCAACATTGGTGAATGTTTTGATTCTTGTTCGTTTAATTTTGTTAAGAGACATGGAAACTTGTTAGCTCACTGTATTGCTCAAATTTCATGTACTGTTTCTATGGAGAGTATTGATCTCCCGTTGCATTTAGCGAATATCGCTTAATAAAATTCCCTTTTATTGTCAAAAAAAAAAAATTGATTGAGCATTGTTCCACCTTCAATGATAAAATCGAAATTATATACAAGGACTAAGGCTGAAAATCGAAACAAAATTTTTGAATTCCCACCGCTATGATCCAAAAAAAAAAATCTTTCTTGGAACAATGTTTTTTCATTTCGAATTCCAATGTTCAATTTATGTTCATTTTATTGTCATCGCATTCGAATTTGTACACGCGTTCCGTATAATATAACCCAATAAAAATTTTCGGGTGTATGTGCATCAAGATCCTCTACTATTAGAGTAGATGTTCAGTGTTCGAATCCTACCCCCTTCCCTACTTTCCCAATTATTAGATGTAATTGTTCGAAGCCTGAAAAAATGGTAAATTATAAAAACCCCCTAATCTTAGATTAAATTACAAAAACCACCTCCATACATTCGTATTTACCAAAACCCCTATGAGGTTTGTTTCATCCGTCTTATACTAACCCCCTTACAGTGTGACTTTTCACAGATTTCTTTTGATTCCAGGGAATAGACTTTGCACAATTTCAGATATTTTCTTTTATCATATTTAACAGAAGGTATCATAGAATGTAAGCATTTTCCGTTAAAAGACTCGATCAACAGTTAATCAGAGGGGGATTTTGATTATTACTGATAGATGGGATTATTTTTCATTATTTAGCCTAAGTTCAGGGGTTTTTTCGTAATTTATCCAAAAAAAAAAAAGAATAACTAACACGTGTCGCTCGAAGGCCAAACCAAACATAAAAAATTAAAAAATAAATAAATAAAGAATCCAACGGTTTGAATAATAACCTCAGCATTAATTTATTAATAAAAAGGAGTAATCATCAGAAATTAGAAAGAAATCCAAGATCCCCCTCACACTCGCATGCTTTCCTGTTTCACAATCTTCACCACTCTGTAAAAAAAAAAAAAGTTCCCACGAAAAATCCCATCTTGAAATTCCACTTTTCTTTAATTTTTATAATCCTTCAAAAAAAAAAAAAAAAAAAAATTCTGTGTGCTTGTGCGTGTGTGTGTGTGAAAAGTCATACGTATGTATGATAGGAAAGGGGCGGTAGTCCGCGGTGTGTGTACAAGGGAATATGCCATTTCAGTTCGAAATTTTGTTCCTTCAACACATTATTCTTGGTAATTTCCCCCACTCGATTTCTTAATTCACTCCAATTTTTGCTTCTAATATAAGTATCTGTATCTATATATATATATATACACACATACACATGCGTGGTCTCTCTCTCTCTCTCTCTCTCTCTCTCTCTCTCTAACTTCTTCCATCATTCAGGTAAGTTTGTCTCGCTTTTGATTGTGATGTGTAATGGGTTCAGTATGTAGAGATATTGGGATGCTGATGCGCAATTTCAAACAAATTTTGAAAAAAATAAAAAATAAAATAAAGCCCACGTTGGTTTTTTTGTTTGTTTGGATCAATTACTCTTAATTGCAAACCCTAATTTAGTGTTAATTTGAATTATGCCCCTCTTAGTTCATTGTGCTTGTTGGAGTCAATTGCTACTGATTTTTAATTTTAATCTGTTGATTTGCTTTTTAGGGTTATTATTATTGTTAATTTATTATATCATTGTTTGGTGTAACTGTAAACCAAGTTACTCTATTGGTTTTGTTCGAGTTCTTGAATTCGATTACGAGTGATAATCGTTTTGTTTGGATCGTCGATTCGTTCGTGTTTGGTTATGTTTTTTTCTTCGGAATTTTATTTAGTTGTTCTTGATTGTGCCTTGCAATTTTCGTGAAATCAGAACGAGCGTCTTAAGTTGTCGAGACAATTAAAATGGGATCGGACAAACAGCCAGTCGGTTTACTAGATACCCTAAACATGGAAAAAGTGAGGACGATTTTCACTCACACGTACCCTTACCCGCACGAGCATTCGCGCCATGCTGTCATCGCCGTGTTTATCGGTTGCCTATTCTTCATCTCGTCGGATAACATGCACACACTTATTCAGAAATTGGACAGCAATATTAAATGGTGGTCAATGTACGCGTGTCTGCTCGGCTTCTTCTATTTCTTCTCTTCTCCGTTCATCGGCAAAACAATCAAACCTAGTTACTCCAACTTCAGTCGCTGGTAATTCCTCTGTTTTTTTTTTTTTTTTTTTTTGTTCAGGATTTGAATTAAAAAAAAAACGAAAAAAACTAACTAAAAAATTCGTTTCACTTTTTTTTTTTTCAGGTATATAGGGTGGATATTAGTGGCGGCATTATATCACCTTCCGAGTTTTCAATCAATGGGAGTTGATATGAGGATGAATCTTTCTTTATTCTTAACAATATACATATCTTCGATTCTGTTCCTTCTCGTATTCCACATTGTATTCATCGGCCTTTGGTATATCGGCCTTGTTGCCCGTGTGGCGGGAAGGAGACCTGCGATTCTGACGATTCTTCAAAACTGCGCTGTAAGTATCACAAGCACGAGTAAAATAAAAACGAAAGGAAAAAAAATTCCAACTTATGTGGTTTTCTTATTTCTGCTATTTATTGTTTACGTGTAGGTTATAAGTGTAGCGTGTTGTGTATTTTATAGCCACTGTGGCAACCGAGCTATTATGAGGCAAAAGACGTATGATAGGAAGTACTCGGGTTGGTTTACACTGTGGAACAAGGAAGAGCGGAATTCTTGGCTTGCGAAATTCGTTCGTATGAACGAATTTAAAGATCAAGTTTGCTCGTCTTGGTTTGCCCCCGTTGGTTCTGCTACAGATTATCCGTTTTTATCCAAATGGGTTATTTACGGAGAGGTATATGGCTTTTTTTTTTTTGTTTTAATTTTTTTTTTGTCTTATTCGGTATTTCTCTTATAAAGATGGCAAATTATCTAATGCTAATGTATTTTTTTTTTAATTTTTTTTTGCAGCTTACTTGTAGTGGTGGCTCGTGTGGAGAATCGGCGGACGAAATTTCACCTATATATTCATTGTGGGCCACTTTTATAGGCCTTTACATTGCAAATTATGTTGTGGAAAGATCGACGGGGTGAGAGTTAATTGATAATAACCTTGCTCGTTTACTTAATGAATTTCCTTTTTTTCCTTTTGCGTTTACTTGCGTTTCTTTTCTTGATTGTAACATAAGTACTTTATTTCTTGGTTTGTAATAATAACAGTTGGGCTCTTACTCACCCTGTGTCACAAAAAGAATTCGAGAAGTTGAAAAAGAAGCAAATGAAGCCCGATTTTTTGGATATGGTTCCTTGGTACTCAGGGTCTCTCTCTCTCTCTCTCTCTCTCTCTCTCTCTCTCTCTCTCTCTCTCTCTCTCTCTCTCTCTCTCTCTCTCTCTCTCTATATATCTCTCTATATCTCTTTATAATCAGATTTATTCAGCATAAGATGATATTATGTAGGACATCTGCGGATTTGTTTAAGACAGTCTTTGACCTGCTGGTCTCGGTAACCGTATTTGTCGGGCGTTTTGACATGCGAATGATGCAGGTATATTATCATCTGTGCTCCCATATGTTGGTAGTTTTATTTGACAATCCCGTGTTGAATTTTCGGTGCCACTTTTTTTCTTTCTTGAAATTGAATTCGATTTTCCGATTTTCAGGCAGCAATGAGCAAAGTTGAAGATGCAGCTAAGCAAGACGATCTTTTGTACGACCAATTCAGCGAACAAGACGAACTTTGGTTTGACTTTATGGCAGATACTGGTGATGGTGGAAATTCTTCGTATAGTGTTGCAAGACTTCTTGCTCAGCCGTCGATTAGGATTCGGGATTCTAAAATTACACTCCCACGTGCTAATCTGCTCTTTATTGGCGGTGATCTTGCGTAAGTTCAATTAGTTTTTTCTGCACCACTATTTTTTTTTGCATTCATTTTTTTTTGAATTTTGATTGAGATTTTCTTAGTCAACGGAAAATTCTGTCTTGTCACAGATTAAATGTCTAATTCTCGATGCATATGAACTAATATGAGGACAGATCAAATGTGAAAATAGCATATACAGTTAAACCTCTATAAATTAATATAAATTAATACAGTCTAGGGAAACTCTATTAATTTAGCAAATTATTAAATTATCGAGTTAATAATTTAACACGTTTTCACTGAGTCGGGACCGAGAGAAACTATTATTTTTTATCGAGTTTAGTAATTTATCGAAGTTCTACTGTACTTTGTACTTTGTAGAACTGCATCGTTTGATGTCTTTTGATATTCTTATCAAAGATTCTAATTTTAGGGGTGAAAATTAGAACATAAGTCCTGATTTCCGCCAATTCTGATCCGAAATTTTCCGATTTTACAACAAGTTTTTCATTCCAATTTCCGAATTCCGATTTCCGATTTTTTTATGGGGATGTACGTACACTGAATTCGATTTCCCTTTTTTTTTTTCCTAGGTATCCAAATCCATCAGCATTTACATACGAGAGACGGCTTTTTCGTCCCTTTGAATATGCTCTTCAGCCCCCCGTCTGGTATAAAGAGGAGCACATAGCTGTAAATAAACCGGAACTGCCACGTGGCGTTACTACACTCAAGCAGTACGAAGGGCCTCAGTGCTTCGTCATTCCCGGAAATCACGGTTAATTAAACGATACATTTAATTAAAAATTTTAATTAATTTTTAATTAACTGTTTAATTTGTTTCGGTGGTACAGATTGGTTCGACGGGCTTCAGACATTTATGAGGTATATTTGTCACAAGAGCTGGTTAGGCGGATGGTTTATGCCGCAAAAGAAAAGCTATTTCGCTCTTCAGTTACCGAAAGGGTGGTGGGTTTTCGGTCTCGACCTTGCTCTACATTGCGATATCGATGTCTACCAATTCAAGTTTTTTTCTGAACTTATTAGGGAAAAGGTACCGTTTCCTATCATGCTTCGATTTATTTTTTCGTCTTTTTTTGTTCAATTAATTTTGATTTTGATTTCTTCTATATATGTGCCCCATCTTTCATCTAAGCCCTTTAAATACCGCTAATTTTTTTCAATTGCATTTAGCACCTCCGTGTTATACCGAATTGCCAAAAAACCCCAATGATGCAATTTTTTTAGCACGTAACCCCTTAAATGATGCATTTTTAGGGGTGTCATTTGCTACTAAAATTGAATCACAGGGTTTTGTTTTGCTAATATGTATAACACGGGGAATTTTTTGACGATTAGAGTAAACACGGGTGCTAAAATGCAATAAAATTGATAACATATGAAGTTGCGTTGCATTGTTACTTAAATCATCTATTAGCTGAGAATTCTGTTTCTTCTGAAGGGGTAGAGGGAGTAATTTTTCCCGACAACTAATCATAACGGAAAAACGAGAAATTAAATGTTCGATGCAAAAAATAACGAAACAAATCGGGTTGTTAAGGTATAAATTCATGCATTTTGATTGCTGTGGATAATATTTACCTCAAAATTATGTATTTATTTTCCAGGTCGGCGAATCCGACTCTGTAATAATAATGACACACGAGCCGAATTGGCTTCTCGATTGGTACTGGGATGATGTGACTGGACAAAATATCTCGCACTTAATACGCGACCATTTACGAGGGAGGTGTAAGCTTCGTATGGCTGGCGATTTGCATCATTACATGCGTCATTCATATGTACCGTCTGAAAAGCCCGTTTATGTCCAGCATTTGCTCGTTAATGGCTGTGGCGGTGCTTTTCTTCATCCAACTCACGTCTTTAGTAATTTCAATAGTTTATACGGTACATCTTATGAAAGCAAGGCGTCTTATCCTTCTTTCGAAGACTCGAGCAGGGTAATGTAACAATAAACTCTTGTCGTAAGTCCACACTACATAGTCAGAAATTGACTTGTCTGATAATTTTTTTTTTTTTTTTCGTTTTTTTTTATTTCGGTGCAGATTGCTTTAGGGAATATATTGAAGTTTCGGAAGAAGAATTGGCAGTTTGACTTCATAGGTGGTATCATATACTTCATCTTGGTCTTCTCCATGTTTCCACAGGTAAAGATTTCTTTTTTACTTACCGTGACGGCTCCGTTTGATTCATGGATTTTAAAATAAGGAAAATAAAAATAAATAATTTGAAAATGTCCATCGAAGAATATAAAATATAGGGTAAATTACAACAAGCCCCCTGAGGTATGGTCAAATTACGAAAACCCCCCTCATGTTTGGGTAATTACAACCACCCTCCTCAACTATAAATCTTCTTACACGTCCACCCTTGCGGTTTCAAATTTAGTGGAATCTTCGAGATTATATGAAATATTATCACTTTTGTACCCATTTTCTCCCATTCGAACTCCACATTTTGAAGCAAGATGGTCATAATATGTGTTTTTTGGCTTGTATAGATCAGATTGTGGTGCATCAGAAATTGTATTTTTACACAAAACGAGTACAAACTAGAGCACATTCCACGAAATCTAGATGATTATGTTGAATTTGACACCATAAGGGTGGAGGTGTAAGAAACTATCATAGTTGAGGGGGTAAGTTGAGGGGGTAGATGTAATTATCCAAACAAGAGGGGTTTTTTCGTAAATTGACCATACCTCAGGGGTGGTTGTAATTTACCCTGAAATATAAAATTTCTACTTTACCTATTTTTACTAAGCATTTTCTTTGATCCAAACAGAGCCCATCGAAAAATACAAAATCTTGAATTCCAACAGAATGACTAAATATTTTTTTTCTGCTTGTTCTAGTGTAAGCTAGATCACATACTACAGGACGACACGTTTTCCGGTCACATAACGAGCTTTTTAGGGACAGTGTGGGATGCTTTCACCTACATGCTCGGAAAGTCGTATGTATCTTCTGCCGGTGCTTTCTTTCTGTTAGTGACAGCTGTCACTTTTGTACCGTCAAAAGTGTCGCGAAAGAGAAGACTAATAATCGGGATTCTCCATGTTTCTGCCCATTTATCCGCCGCCCTTATACTAATGCTGCTCTTGGAATTAGGCGTCGAAACATGCATCAGACATAACTTGTTAGCAACTTCAGGTAAGTAATATTCATCAAACATATATATATATATATATATATATATATATATATATATATATATATATATATATCTAAAAATATATTGTTAGCAACATAAGTATTTTAGGGGGTAGTTTGCTAATAAAATTGACAATTTTGGGGGGGATTTTGCTAATATTTATAGCACATGGATTTTTTTGATAAATAAAGTAAATTCAAGGGTGCTAAATGCAATAAATCCGAATATATAGCACCAAGCCTAACAATTGAAATTTCATCTCAGGTTACCATACTCTATACGAATGGTATCGATCGACGGAGAGCGAACATTTTCCGGACCCCACTGGCTTGCGGGCCCGTATAGAGCAATGGACATTCGGACTTTATCCTGCATGCATCAAGTATCTGATGTCAGCATTTGATGTTCCTGAGGTAAGCACTAAGCACAAATGACATCATCATTAACAGCAAGGTTGTCGCTCGTATTCTTGATTCGTACATTTTTTTTTGTATTTTTTATTACAGGTGATGGCTGTGAGCAGGAATAATATCTGCAAGAACGGGATGGATTCACTTTCTCGAGGTGGAGCGGCAATATACTATGCGTCGGTCTTCCTTTATTTCTGGGTTTTTTCGACTCCTATTGTTTCGTTGGTTTTCGGAAGCTACCTTTATATCTGCATAAATTGGCTTCACATACACTTTGATGAAGCTTTCTCGTCGCTCCGAATCGCCAACTACAAGTCGTTTACTCGGTTCCATATAAACCCTAAAGGCGATCTTGAAGTTTACACCCTTGCTGTAGATAAGGTAACGAAATTCCCTCGAAACCAATGTTTGTTTGCATGGGTTAACTATATGCTAATGCTCGTTCATCTATAGTCTAAGGGTGGAAATTGGAACGAAAACTCCGAATTCCGCCTATTCCTATCCGAAAACTTCCGATTTTGGAACAATATTTTTCATTCCGAATTTCGATTTTTTTTTTTCGGAATACATATTAGATTCTGATTTCTGATCCGAGTTTAATTTCCAAAATATTTCAAAAAATTCCAAAAAAACAATTCCCTCGAAAATTACACTTTATGATATCAATATTATGTATTTTTATCAGTTACCAAAAAATGGAATTTCCAAATTCTGCGATTTCATCCGCAAATTTCCGATTAAAAAAAATTGATTTTCTGAATTTTCTGTAATTAGCTTTCTACTTCCGAAAGATTGATTTTTTTTCCTTTTCCTGAAAGTGGCAACTCCGATCCATCCAATTTCCGGCCGTAATCTACACACACCAACATGGATTGTGTGTGTGTGTGTGTGTGTTTTGTATGTGACTGAATGGACGATTATATGAATGCTAAGTTATGTTGTGTGTGTGTGTGTGTAATTTGTGAAGGTGCCAAAGGAGTGGAAGTTGGATCCAAGTTGGGAAGTAGAATCGAAACTACCGCAAAACCAGAGTCACTTTAGGAAATTTCCGAGCAAATGGAGATCGGTTTCGTCACAGCAAGATCCGGTCAACACCGTTCGGATAGTTGACCACTTTGTTATTGAACAAACAGTAAAACCTGAATTTGTTGCCTCAGTTAATGGATCAGTAGCTCATTGATTCAAGAAAAAAAAGGGCTTTCATCTTTATTATCTCAGTATTATAAGCTGTATGCTTTAGAAGCAGTAGAAATATTATTATTATTATTATTATTATTTATTTTTTTATTAGAAATTATGTTAGGGTAGAATATTGTACAGTAAGTATCTGTAGTCTTGTAGAATTTAAGTAAGCAAAAGGGCGAATGGAAAGAGAAAAAGAAAAAACCAAAATTAAAAAGGATGAAAAAGTCTTCAATCTTATAATTTTCTATATATCTACTCTTTTGTATTAGTCCAATTTATTTTGTTTATTGTTTTAGTCATTTTTATATTTTTTTGTTTATAATTTGTATATAATTTTTATATGATTCTAATCGTTGATTTTTTAAAGAAAATTAATTAGAATCCAATTTTAATTCTGGAATACAAGAAGTAGTAATCTTCAAAATTTCCCTCAAAAAAAGTTGATCTTTCATCTTTGTTTTTTCGAATATATGCATGAAATAAACTTCTCATTTGTTGTAACTTGCAAGTGTAAATAATAATTTTATTTAAAAACTATGAAATAGTAATATGCAGATAATATTTTATTCGGGTTACGATCAGAAAAATTCCATTTGGAACAAAATTATTCGTTACAATTTACAAGGTTTTTTAGTTCCATTTTTTGTTTCCGTAAGTACACCTATGAACAACATTATTTATTTTATTTACTGAAAAATTAATGAAGTATTTTATTTATATTTTTACTTTAGGATTATTGAGTCGAAAGCTCATGACATTTTTCTACTTTGCTATTTCTCATTCACAAAATCCTTAGTTTCTTTTTGTCTGCTCATTTTTTCGTCTCATTCTCGAATTATTCAAAAACCTAGCCGAAAAGTCAAGGCCGCTTAGACCATTTGTAGATGGTAATTTTCATTTTGAGTTACTTAGATAAAACTAATTTTACATAGAAGTTAGAAAAAATATATGAGTAGAGAGAGATTTTTTTTTTTTTTTTAATTTATGTGTGGAATTTAGTAAATTTTTGTGTAGAATTTAACCCGCCCCTTTCTAAAAATATGTAAGAATTTATCACTAAATTAAATTGTAAATATTTCTAGTAAATCCGTTGAAACCTCTCCATTAATTATTCTTAACTTCTAAAATATACTTAGAAATTTCACAGAATGGAGACACTTCCAATCACAAGATTAATCAATCACAACCATCAATCAAGGAACTTGAGTATATATAAATATAAGTAGGATTTCATTTATAAATCAGTCATCAAAATAAAATGACTCCTATGTACATATGTTGGCTCATTGGGTCACTGTTTATGTGCATCGCCTTCATTTTCTTTCTTATATATCACTGGCGATGGTCTTGAGATTTAGAGAAGAAATGGCCTAAGGAACCAATAAATAAAATTGATCATATAAAGACAAAGAGTATTTTGCATTTTTCTGGCCTTCTCTCTCTCATTTTAAATGCTCTCTGATCCGAACATCAGAATTCATCCATCAAAATAAAATAATAAGCGACATCTTTCTAAACATGCTTAAGGCCAACCACTGGCTATACCAAGAAAATGTTAAATTTTAAATATTTGTATTTGGTATTAGTTTTTATTTTATATACTAATGTAGAGCCCATTTTAGGAGAGTTACATGCAAAAACACCCTTTGTACTTCTTAAAGGCTAAAAACACTTGGGTAAAACTATGTGACCAAAAATTCTATGTGACCAAAAACCCCCTGTGATATGTAGCCAAAATCATACACCCCTCGCTCTCGCTCGTGTTATTCATGCGCTATCAATGCGACTGCTTGTGCTCTTGTTCGAATTTTTTATGTAAAGACATAAATGCTCCTCTAAATATCTCTCTTTTTTTCTTGTTCCATTTTAAACCAACAAAATAAAAAATTATATACTAAATATATATAAATTAATTAAAAAAGAAAAAAATAAATAAAAGAAATTTGGAATTTCTTCCTTCGGGTCGAACTTACGCCACCCCTTCACCTTCTTCTCCGACATTGCCATCTTCTTCACCCATCTTCTTCTCCGACATTGCCATCTTCTCCGACGTTGCCTAACGATCGCCGCCGCCGCGAGTTCAGATCTTCTCCAAAGTCGCCGCCAATTCGAGGTTCGGCGAGCTCCACGCCGCTGAGTACGAGTTGAGTGGGTGAGGCGTGTCTGTGTAAGTTGAGAAATTAAAATTGAACTGTGTGCTACCGGTGTTTTTTTTTTCAATTGGAGAAGATGGCTTAATTGAAAATGTTAGGGATTGAATTGAAAATTTTGAAAATTTCATTGAAGTCATAAAATTCTAAAGGTTGGACATATTTATCTGGAGGGTCTTTTTGTCTTTTCGCAGGCGATCAACAGACAAACTTGATTGAACACTTATTAGAGGGGTTTTGGTAACTTAATTTTTCCCTAGGGTTTTTTGGCCTTTAGGAAGTACACATGATTTTTATTTGCATTTAACTCCATTTTAAAATGATCATAGTTTCTGTCAAATCGAGGAAGAGACTCCCTTGCATATGATCCTCAAGTGTCGCAGTATGGACGAAGTCTGGCAATCTCCCCACTTTGCGAAATCCCCAAGTCATAATCGGATAATCAGAATCGTGCATGGGAGAACCGGATAATCAGAATCGTGCTTCAAAAGGAGAAGAGACTATGTCATTAACAGAATTAGTGCAGTAGCTATATAGCTGTCTTCAAATCAGCCCATCTCCGCCCCAGCACCAAGTTGAAGGACGATCACCCGAGTGTGTGGAAACCACCCCTCACGAGTTGTGGTAAAACTGAACTTCGATGCTGCTCTTCTACGAGGACAAAATTATTTTTCGGTTGTGGCCATTGTTAGAGATGGAGCTGGATCTTGTATTGGATGGAGAATGCTCTAATACCGCTTGAATCGGGTGATTTGGAGTTCGTATGTGGACATTGCCAGAGGTATTGCGAGATTCCTTCTTCCAATGTGATTTATTTCCTTATTTGTTCTCTTCATGGTCACATAATTCTCGTTTTTCACCTATAAAACACAAAATCTATCAATTAAAGGATAAATATAATTAAATCTAAACAAAAGATTCACGCAAAATAAAAGTATTGAGTGTAAACAAATATAATCTTATGATTTTTTTTTCCGGCAGGTCAATCGTCGCTTCGGGGTTGACTTTCTTATTTTGAAAACCTTTTTTTCTTCTTAAAAAAAATTATTTTCATTACTATTATTGTTTTGGCCTGCAATATTACTGTCTTGGAGACAGTAACATTACTGTCGGAGGCATTAATTTAATTGTCTGAGACATTAATTTTACTGTAGTAATTAATTTTATCATCTTGGCCTGCAATTCTTCTGTCTTCGACCGTAATATTACTATTTCCGACCATAATATTACTGTCTCCGACCGCAATATTTCTGTCTCATGCAGTAATATTACTGTTTGGGAAAGTAATATTAGTAATATTACTGTTTCAGACAATAATTTTGTTGTTGGCAGAGTAATTTAGAGAGAAAAAAAAGTTTCAAAAATAAAAATAAAAAATCAACGGCATTTGATTAGCTGGAAAAAAATTTGAAAAAAAGTCAACCCCGAAATCTGGTCGGAAAAAAAAAGTTCAGAAATTATTTTCTAAAAAATATAAAGGAAAATTAAAGAAAATATGAAGATGGGAGTTAATATGATATACTTGTTCAAATTCAGAGTCAATGTGCAATATTGATGAAGTTAAAGTATAATAGATGTAATTAATGAAAATTATATTATGAAGGATATTTTAGACAAAAGGCATGAGAATGTATTCATTTGCGCTATTTTTTTGTTTGTATCTATGCCCATTTAAATCCCCTGTCACGACCATTTGTCATTTTTCTATAAAAGAATTTATGTTCATTGATTTGACCTTGTTTTGACTTTTTAATAAGCTTAAGAAACCCTTTCAAGTAACTCAAAATACTGAAGTACCAGAATTTTTTGGCCAAGTTACTCAAAAATAATTAGCAAACGACATTAATATAAAAAAGCAGAAAAAATCAGAAATAAGAGAAAAAAACAAACAATAATTCCCAAAATTTTCAAATAAAAGGAAATTCAACAAAAACAGAAAAAAAGAAAAAAAGAATAACAATAATTGCATTTCCTGTATGCCTAATTTCCTTATTGACAATTCAACTTTGATTGTATTGCCATTGGAATTACAATCTGTAATCTGTACTAATGTATTTTTCATAAGAAGTACCCTTTAGCAGTTTTCGGACATCCTCAAAGTTGTCGATTTGCGTCTGCAAGGGCCCGCTGTGTATCTTAACCTGAAGGCTCGTAAGATTTCTTCTTGGCAACTTCAAGAATTCTTGCACATCCACCAGTTTCTGTAATAAAATTATTAGCCTCGAGTTTTTGACATAATCAAGAACTATATATATAAAATTTTATCTCACCGTTTGATTGGTGACTATGTCTTCGTAGTAAAGGACAATGTGTCGAGTGCTTTTGAAACGTTCCAACGCTCTTGCTACCATTTGCTCCGTACCCCTCAAATGGGATACGAGTACCGTTACGTTAAGAGCCGGCTTGTATTTTGCGAGTACTTGAGCCTGCGATTTTATGTTATCGCAACACCTATGTGTTACTTGTGAGTTTTTTAATTAGGAAAAAATTATGTTTTAGTATGAAATGACCATTATGCCCTTAAAAACTCACGTGGAACGCACTTGGGTTCCGTCCAATATAACCAGAAAATGGGTAATATATGACAATGTGGCACAAAAACTCGACTTCCGACAATACTACACTACTAAACCCATCACAAGTTTTCGTGTAAAATACTAAATATTTTAAAACAACGGGGTCCGTGGCCCCATGGCCTTATGCCGGCTCAGTCACTGCAGACCAACAAAAATGTCTTCCGGCC